ATAATAACCGAAAAAATTATTAAACGACATGGAGGTTAGTTTATATTATTGATTTGAAATTAATTATGGAATTTATATTCTTAGGCATTCTTGGTCTTTGTGCAATTGTTCTTTCAAGTCCATACGATATCTCAAATTATGTACCGGCTGCATTAATACTTCTATGTGAACATTTACATGATTCCGATCTTATTCAAGTTAGTTAGTTAGTTAGTTATTTGAAGATATTGATTATGTTTGTGTTTTTTTTAAATTAGAAATCAGTTAAAAAAGCTTTATCAGAATTTCGTCGTACTCATCATGATTCATGGCATCAACATCGAGAAAAATTTACGGACGATCAACTTGTTATCTTTGATGATGTATTAATATCGCCAAATTACTATGTATAAATGATTATACAATTTCTCATATCTAATATATGAACTAGAATGGAATTGTTTTTAATTACATAAGTATCTTCTCTGATAATTATGCAATTTTTTTTGTATATTTATTTCTATATTGCTATTTTATATTTATATAAGGAACTAATTGTAAATAAATATAAAGATTTGAGTATAAATGTGGATGTGTAAAGCTACCACAATAACTGGTATTTTGATGTTACTGAGAAAGACTCATCTTATCAAGTGACACTAGGATAATAGTATCAGAGATTTGAACTCAATTATTTGAGCGAATCACTACAGATTTAATTTGTTGATCCGGTAAAAATAGGTTTAAGATATCTTTTTCGCATCGTCTTTTTGTTGGTTTTTGTTCTTACTACTCAGCTCTAGTCAGTTTTCGGATGATTCTCATCGTTCTTCTTCTGTTTCGTGATAGAATTTGTTCTCTGTTGTTTTTTATCGTGATCATAACCATTGGTTTGCTGGATACCCTAGCACTGTTGTTATTTGTTTTGCGATTGTATCTGTTTTCGTATCCGTCAGTCTTTCAACAATACCTAATCCTGTTGCTTGGATTTATCATAGTGGATATGTATATGCCAGAGTAAACCTGGTTGTTGTTTTATCTGTAGGAAATGAAATAAATGATAGTATTATAGAGAAAAATTGCCTTCTATCAATTGACTTGATCTGTTATTTTTAAAGTTCGAATTATTGTTGTTTCATTTGTGTTGTTGTTAAAGTCCATAATCTTTTCTTCTGTAATCTCAAATAAGATAGAGAATTAACTAGACTCAATTCTTATTTTCAAACTAAACATCTTCTATTTACAAATCCTTTCAATGGAATGAAAAAAAACATCAGCAAAAGAAATAAAATAGAAAATGATCATTGTCCTTTTTGATTTTAACTACGTTGTTAATGATGGATACTTTTTAATGGTAATTTATTAAAATAGAACATAATATTATTGAAAGACAAATGTGTCATATGTGATTGATAAGTCGGCTTGTCCGCATAACAGTCGCCCTAGGTAATTAAAGTAGAAGCCGAAAGTTTTGAAAAATATTCTATACTATTTTGTAGAGGACATTTTTCTGCATCAGAAAATATATTTTATACGCTCTTAATTTCTTAGGAAACAAAAAATCAATGGCTGTACATCTGTAACATCTTTCTCTAACGTATACTGTCATCTTTATATCATTTCAAAAAAGTATAGAAAAAAAACTGAGAAAACTTATAGATTAAAATGTGATGCATATTTTCGATGTTCAAGCTGTGGATCGTTCCATTGTACGAATAATATCTGTTAGAATATTGGTGAAAGAAAATACGAAAGTCTCAAAAACTTGATAAATACGAGAGAAAGGATGACACTGAATGACACTAACAGCAAGACTTAGACTGTTCTAAAATATTTCAAAGTCTTCCTCGAAATTCGAATGGCTAGAATACGTTTTTCAATATTTTAAATAATACAGATTTTTATTTTTTTGCGTAGATGAAAATTCATATTTCAGATGTCAAGGATAATAAGTAATGATTCATTGATTTGCCATAGTCATCATATGATTAACATAAAAAGAATGAACTAATCATGTTCTAACTTTAATGAATGTATATAACAGATTTATCTACTAGTTAAATCAATGGTTGACATAATAATAAAAAATGGAATACGAAAATAAAATGCAACAAGGCAAACAAAAATTAGAATATCAATGAAAAAATTAAATAAGGTTGATTGTTTCCCGGGTGATTGATTATCTTTTGAAAACAACAATAATATCTACTAGAAATTTTTCATTTAACGTATTTTGTATTAGTATGATGCAGCGAAAGAACACATATGAATTCCACATTTTAGTCTCAAAAGAGCTGCAATGACAAAGTTTTTTTGTATATGAACCAACACCAATTCAATAACAATAGAATTTAGCTCAGTTTTAAATTGTTCCAGTTCAGATTGAAATACCGCGATAATTAATTGAAATATTCGAAATATTTTATATTTGCATCAAAAACGCCGTCATGTTGGTCGTGAAAATAAGAATTTCTTTTGCACGTCAAAACAACTTGACAGAAAAATAAAAATATACTAATAAACAGATTTTATAATTTGGATCGCTGTTACAGCGGCATTTTGTTACATTTTGCTCTTGTTCAAATATTTTTCGTATTTGTTTGAATTTAACCCTTTCGAGACGATTCGGTTTTCATAAAAATAACTTTAACACATTCATCTTCATGTCTATTCACTCTCGATAAATGCACTCGTTGGACTTTTTAGTATATACAGCCACTCATTTCTCTTTTTCTTGTTTGTACCATTACACAGCGATCTTGTTCCACGTAGAACTGAATAGTTACTTAAGTTTGCTTTTCTCTTTCTCTCATATGTATTTGCACTAGGAACAATATAGAGAAATAAAATGTCAATCTGTTTTTGTTTTCTTTTCGAAGCATCATCTTTGATTCGTTCTGTTATGATCTACATTTCCTATAGGTGCAATTAGAAGACATATTCTTCTTATTTTCATCATTGAGCATTCTCCAGTGAGGGAAAACAAGGTATAGATTTATCTGATTAGCTATCACCATACTATACATTCCTCAGGCGATCCATGAAATAATATCAATAGATGGCATCTGAATTGATATTTGGAACGGCAACAATTAACGCCTACTTGATTTATAAGGAAAATTATGACACAAGCCATGTGACCATGCTACAGTTTTGTGAATCTTGTACGATCGTTACGTCTAAGTACATCATTTGAGATGCTGAAACTTGGTATGAAGCAACAATCAAAAAGTAATTCGAAGTGTAAACTAGTTGATCATAAGCTTGCAGAAAAAGAAGAATCTGCGCGCAATGTTCGCAGACACTGTAGACTGCTTTGAGAAAGGAAAGGAACCACAATCAAGAGAAAAGAGCTATGTGGCAGTAAAGAAAATAAAAATCTTTTGTTCTGACTGTAATTAATTGTTTTATCTTGATTGTTTTAATAAGAAATATCATGCTATGGAATAAAAGAATCAAAAAACATATCCAGGGCAGAGCAGAATTCACATTGTGTTTAATCTCCTGCCTAAGAAAAAAGCAAAAGAAAGTGCTTTTCTATACAGTTTCTCGTTAAACTATAGCGTCGTCCACCGGTGGGCGACATCGCCTCGAAAGAGTTAAATATTTTATGGCTTTAAGTGTACAAATAAAACAAAACCATGA